AGACAAACATACATACAAAGATACAAACATACATACATGTAGACACACACACACACACACACACACACACACACACACATACATACGTCACACACACACATACATACGTGATCTTGCTTCTCTTATATACTAAGACAGGAAAAATGCCAACAAAGCTAAATAGATACATTAATTAAAGACACACAAAAATATGATAAAAAATTTGAATTATGTAACGTATAATTAGACAGACAGACAGGGAGACAGACAGACAAACATTCAAATAGTCAAAAAAAAAACAGACAGACAAGCTAAGAAACATACAGAGATACATTTAGACAAACAAACAGCCACGCAAACAGACTGACAAGCAGACAAACAGTCAGAAAAAGCATTCTTTAAGCAGAGAAGCAGACAGACAAGCACACATACTACAAACAGAGTTAGAGAGAAACATAAAGACATAGAGAAAGTGTAAAATGATATTTATTACATTCTCGAGGCAAATGCAATGGAACAAAAGTTGAACTAATTATATATATATTCTGAATTATAGGCAGATTCTTTTTTTGAACGCTAGGACTCTGCTTAGCGTTTGGTCATTATTTTATTTGTTTTTATTTCTCTGATTTATCTGGTATTCTCGTTAGTTTTGTTGGTTTTATTATTATTATTATTATGATTATTATTATTGTTATTGTTGCTGTTGTTGTTGTTATTGTTTATCATATTTGATTGGAGGATCGTTCTCAAATTTTGTCTGCTTCTTTGTTAGTTTTGATGGTTGCACGATCGATTTGTTTATTTTCGAGTTTTTTAAAGGATGTCATTGTTGTTATTATTATTATTGTTGTTGGAGTAGTTGTAGTAGTTGTTGTAGTTGATGATGTTGTTGTTGTAGTTTTTTATGTTGTTGTTGTTTATGTTGTAGTAGTAGTAGTAGTAGTAGTAGTAGTAGTTGTTGTTGTTGTTGATTTTGTAGTAGTAGTAGTAGTAGTTGTTGTTGTAGTTGTTGTTGTCGTTGATGTCGTTGATGTCGTTTTTGTTGTTGTTGTTGTTGATGATGTTGTTGTTGTTGTTGTTGTTGTTGTTGTTGTTGTGGTTTTTCCCTTTATTTCTAGGAAACATACCACTACGTCTATCTTAGTACGTTTTTTTTATCTCATTTGTTTTTATTTATTTAAATAAATTTATCATTTTCTTTTTTTTTTGCTGTTGTTCTCTTTTAAAAAAAACTTCCTCCAGCGTTCATTTTGAATCGTCCGTGCCTGTCTGCTATATTTAATCGTTAATTTGTTTGAACGTTGTCTGCTGTCTGTTGTTCATTTTATTATGTTTTTATTCATTATCATTCTTATTATTTATAGTAGTAGTAGTAGTAGTAATAGCAGTAGCAGCAGTAGTAGAAGCAGTAGTAGTAGTAGTAGTAGGAGTAGTAGTAGTAGTAGCAGTAGCAGCAGTAGTAGTAGTAGTAGTAGTAGCAGCAGCGGTAGCAGTAGTAGTAGTAGTAGCAGCAGCAGCAGTAGTAGTAGTAGCATCAGCGCAGCAGTAGTAGTAGCAGCAGCAGTAGTAGTAGTAGTAGCGTTTTTTAACGCTTTGGTTATTTATTTAAACGCCGACATCATCTGTTAATTATGTTTTTCCAATTTGGTATTGTATGAGTTTTTTTTTGGCGTTCATCTGTTTAATCTATTTTCCTGAAAATTTATCGGAGTAGTAATTTTTTGTTTGTTCCTTCCGTTCATTCGTTCGTCCGTTCGTTCGTTCGTTCGTACGTTCGTTCTTCGTTCGTTCATTCGTTCGTTCATTCATTTGTTTGTTCTTTTTTTCTTTCATACGCCTGGAAATAGTATTTTTTTCGTAATCGTTCATTCGTCCATTCATTCTCTCATTCATTTATTTTCGCTAATTCAACTTAGTACAAGTATTATTTTAGTGCGGCAATCCTCTCTCTCTTTCTCTCTCTCTCTCATACAACAACTGCTCATCCATCAAT